TCTTGTTAAACTTGGCAAGAGTGGATGTGAAATCAGGCACATGTTAGTTCAAGTTTATGGGGATAATGCCATGAAGAAAACAGCAGTGTAAAAATGGATTAGATGTTTTTCTGAGGGAAGAGAAATCATCACTGATTAAGAGAGGCCAGGACAGCCAGTAGCAGAACTGATGAAAACATTGCAAAAATTCATCTAATCGTGTATCAAAATCATCACCTCAGCCTCCCAAAGGCGCGAGATTACAAGCTGAACCACTGAGCCCGGCGATATTCAGCACTTTTTAAAGGATGAGTTCACGAATGTAATTGTCATTCCTTGTATAACTTTTTCATATATTTGTTTTCTTTCTGCAGAAATATAATCAGTTCCTTGAGGGTGGAGACTGTTTCTGACACATCTTAGCATTTCTGGATGCCAGAACAGGGGCTTACCGTAAGAGTCAGGTACTGTGCATGCACTCATTTAATCTTTATATCAACCTATGAATAAGGAACTCTGGTTATCCTAATTTCATAGACAGGAAACTGAGGCACAAATTGCACAGTTATAATAAGAGGTAGATGGTAAGAGGAAGTAATTTATTTTACAGAAGGGATGAGAACTGTGATTAAGTTGGACAAGTTAGTTCCAAGGGGAACTGACTCCACTTGGCTGGTTAAGCTGCATCCTACCCAAGTGTACTGCAGAGTTTGCCTTCAGTGAACATGTCAGGTACTTTCTGGAGAGACAGATCTGGGGCTTCATGGAGTTTGTAGAACTGGTTGTATGACTGCTTGCTAATAAATGTGTAACAAACTTGGTCTGAGACTTTCACTGTAATATACTACCTGGAGCAAGGTTGTGGAGAAGCCTGATAGCTCAAGCTATCTCTTGACTATTGGAGGCTACTGATGTCTGTCCAAAAGATGTTAATAAATGTGAATGACCCAATCAATTTAGGTTAATTTGTAACCTCCTCCTTCCGTGGTTATCTCCAACTGTGAGAGATCTAGCCTGAGATAGTCAAATCAGGTCTTGTGAAAACTTAACACAGGCCTCACACAGAGATTCCTGGGGCGGAATTCTCTGACAAGAAGCCCTTCTTGCAGTGTGTGAGTATTGGGAACAAAGGTAAGGCCTATGGGCTAAAACTCCAAACAACCAATAGTTAGAAATGTAATGTTTTCTCCAAGCATTTATAGATCTTCTGAGTGTTTTGAATTCCAATGGGAAGGCAATTGTGATCAAAGCCAACTGAGGTTGAAAATGACTGTGGCTGTCAGAATGGCTCCTCCCCCCTTCCTTTTGGTTCACTGTTGAGGAAATCCTGCCTCAGCAACCCTTTCTCCCTCTCTGCATCCATCTCATATGACCCCATTGGATACTCTGAAGAAGCTCCTAGTTCCAAAGATATTGGAGAATCTTGGCCTTGTTGGTTGTCTCATATTACAAGTAGTCTGATAGTTGCTTGTGAATTGTAAGAATATTTAGGTTTTGAGGTCAGAAGCACAGACTGGTACTTTTTAAAGTCTTAAAAAAGTGAAAAATTATATATGAATATACATAATGAATTAAAAACAATACCTGAGTATTGAGTCTATATTATCTAATACAATTGATGAAACTATAGGTCATATTCTTCAGATTTTCACACAAACTTTTATTTTACTTTTATAATAATTTGAAAAGTGATGTTTATTGTTAAGATAAAATTTGGTTTCTCTTTTCTGTCTAGTTCATCCAGGATAGTGCTAATAGTGCTTTACAGAAAGTTCTAATCCATTAGAACTGTCCAAAGTGCTGTCCATCCAGTAGAGTAACCACCAGTCACTGTGACTGTTGGGCATTTGAAATGGGACTCATGCAACCGAGGAACTGAATTTTTAATTTTATTTAATTAATTTAAGTAGCCACTTGTGACAAGTAGCTACCATACTGGTCCCCACAGATCTAGAACACAGTGATAAGCTTGTATCAGGATAGTCTCGTTCAGCTGCAGTGACAAAGAACGCTAAATCTTGGTGGTTTATAAGAACAAAGGTTTATTTCTTGTTTGGGTTGTGTCCATTTTTGGTTGATTGGGGACCCAGATTGATAGAGCAGCCACCATCTCACATGCTGCCAGTCATTAATTATGGGGAACCTGGCACCCATACGTAAATGCTCTGCCCGTCTTCCAAAAATACAGAGAAGGAGGTCCCAAGGGATAAAGTAGGATTACTTGTGTTTTCCTGAAAAGTGGAGAGTTGAGTTTCTTCAGAATTCTATTATCCATTACTCCCTTGGGACTCATTAGCACAGATGTATCAAAAGCAGGTGAGGTGTGGAGTGGAAAGCAGTTTTCAAACATTTTAATAAAAAGAAAAAGACAGACATATATAAATCTACAGCTGACAACAGTCAGTATAGTATGTCTTGTTAGTTACACAAAAGAAATATCTTTTAATAAGAAGATCTGCAATGTAAGGAAAAAATCAGTGGATTGTTTTTTATATGTTGGGCTAAAATGAATGAAAGAAAGTATTGTTATTTTTCCCAGTAAAACATATATTGTACATTTTTCACTAGCAAGGAATACAAATAGCCCTTTTCTTCAAAAATAATAAATTGCTCACTAGGAACATTTGTGGATTGTGGTTGCCTTAAAAAATGAAAAAAATTAAATATTTATTAATGAACAATGGATTGTTTCTTTCCAGACGACACCACAGAATCATAAAATAATCTAACCCAACATTTAACAGCGTGTCTTAAATTCTTTCTAGACTATCCACATGTTTAAACATCTCAAGACATGGGAGACTCACCATCTGACATGTGCTAAGACCTCCTATAAAGCAAGAGTGACAGTTTCCTAATAACAAATTCTTCAATATCAAGACATGGATAAAGTACTTGACTGCCCATAACAAATTGTACCAAAGACCAATTCAAACCAAACCCTGGTTAATAACATTAGTGATGATGATGATGATTTTGTCACATATTTTTAAAAAGTCATAAATTTTAACATTTATGAGAACCTGATGCTATCTTTCTAGAATATTATGCTTCTAAACTGATGCTTGAGAGAAATTTTGAAGCAAATGTGTAAATTACGCTACCTATATAAACAAGAACTACCAAAGTCATTCTGTTTTGTAATAAAACAACTACATAAGCTAATTTGTCACATTTATGCAGCACAGCATTCGTTTTTTGTTTCCCAAATGTACTCTACAACTGGGAACATGGAAAGAAAGAGAAGTCTGAAAAGACTGAGCAAACAGCATGCATTGTGGTATCCTTTATTTAAAAACTGTGAGCTAACTACAGTTGTAGTGTTCTCATTTACCATTCTGATGGCATAATAAACCAAGAGAACATTAACACAATTTCAAGAAGGCATTAACCTGTAAACACACAAATATACCACACATGCACACACGCACACATACAACATACACACACATAAACATTATAGTCTAAATACAATTAAAGTGAAGAAAAAAGGCTTTGAATGCTATAAATCAAATAAAAACCCTTTATTATAATAAACTGTGACAATACTGTGGCTATTATGAAAAATGTTGTAACTGTTTAAAAAGCAAAAAGGAAAAAATACTGGTAATTTGGAACTAGCAGCAAAAAGCAGATAAAAATAGAATGGAAGATAACATAAGACATATTAAAATTCTAATATTGATACTGTGTAGGATTGCACTGAAGTAATTTAAAATTGGTTCTTAAGGAACTATTAAAAAGTCCCTTGAAATATTAAATTGTTGCACTTTACAAACAGTGGAAAAGAAAAAAAAGTATTTGGAATGTTACACACACACACACACACAAACATAGGAAATGTACTAGGTATATCAATTATGGTCTTTGCTCATGACCTTCAAAAAGTTGTATAAAGAAAGTATTTAAGTGCCAATGTAGTGAAAGAAAGTTAAAAATTCCTAAAGATGCAAGTCTGAGTGCATTTGTCAGAACTAAGAATGTATTTCAAGGTTGGGGGCAAGGTTGATGCACATTCAAGAAGAAAACTATGGAACCTGTAAGGTAGACCAAGTCCTTATGGAGAGCATTGAGAAGGAAGATATATTAAACCCAGACTATCTAAGGAGATTCCAAAGTACGTAGAGTTCTATAGCTCTTCATCAGTTGAAATCTGTTTCATAGTGGCCAATAAATAATTAAGACTAACTTTTTGGCAAACTGGTTTTTCCTACATTCAAACACAAAAAATCTTTACCACATGCGCAGAGCTGATATTCGATTACAGCACAAATAGGAATCCTGGTTTACGAAGAAAAGCACATTAGCAAGGATATTTTTTCATGGGTTCTTAAACAAATATCTGAAGCTGCTAGACATTTGCAGAGAGGAGATAAGTGTAGATTGCCTACTGATTTTGGAAGAAAGGAGAATTTTTTTTTTCCTAAGGAAGCCAGAGTCATCCATGAGCAGGAGACTGTCTGTCTTCAGAATCTAAGAAGCGTAATGTCCTTAAAACTGTCCAGAAAAACTGACCGGTAGAATGGGGAAGAGAAATGGAAAGTTTGAACGTCTGCAGCATACGTTGGAATAAAGTATGCCTTGTAAGTTAGAATGGCTCAACTGCTTTCATAATGAAGTGCTGCAGTATTACAGAAGACCCAGTTCTCTGGAGTCAGGGCCTGGGAGAGCAAGGCCTCCCACCTTCAGGGACCCTCTGGGCTAAGCTGTGCCTGCAGGCCCTGGATCCCTTGTCTGGGCCTTGTTTTTTATGAGTGCATTCAGCTAGGGAATTTATGACTGTGCCCAGATAAATAGTTCTTTTGGCTACTTTCTCTCTAAAATCAATTGGCCAGGCAAGTTATTGGTGATGTCCCTAAATGAAATCTAGCTGCACTAGTATCTTAAGGTGCCAGCTAATTCAAATTAATGCCCATCAGTAACGCTGCTAGGTATCAACTACTGTTGCTGAAGAATCAACCCCCAAATGACCTAACTAGATGATCTATCTCACTAGGTGTTTTTACTACCTTGAGTTTTTGGAGCTTTAGAGAAATAGTTCTTTTAATGTTACTTAGAAACAACTTTCTCTGGCTTTGTTTCACTCTTCCTCTTCTTCCTCTTCGCCTTCCCCTTCTCCTTCCTCCATGGTTTCCACAATGAGCTCCGCTGTGCAGGTGGCTTCTCCAAGACTGTTGACAGCTTTGCAGGTGTACTTGGCATCGTCATCCCCACAGACATCGCTAATAATTAGAGAGCAGTTCCCATCTTCATCGTAGTCTATCTGAAAGTGGCGGGACTCCCTGATTGACTGGTCATCTTTGAACCAGACGACCTCAGGGTCTGGGTAGCCTGCATCACAAGGAGAGGACAAGTTGCAGAAACAATTGTTTAAAATTTCTTATCAGTTCATGCAAGTAACTCCTAAGCTACTCGATTGATCAAGGGGGTCAAGTAAAAAAATTATGATGTTGGCTTTTATCATCTGTTATCTATGTTAGAATATGAGCAAGTATTATAATCTGAGATACCAAATAGAGGATTTTAAAGTTGTCCCACTTCCTACCCATGTTGGACTAACACCACATCTTAGTTTATTTTTTTTTTTTTAATAGACAAGGGCTATTGATCAGGATGGAAAGCAGTGGTGAAATCATAGCTCACTGCAGCCTTGAACTCCTGGACTCAAGTGATCGTCCCTCCTCAGCCTCCCAAGTAGCTAGGACTACAGTTGTGTACCACCATACCTGGCTAAACATCCCACCTTTAAACAGCTAGAGAGTACTGCCCCAACTGCAACTACAGTAAGTCCCCTACATACAGACAAGTTCCATTCCAAGAGCATATTTGTAAGTCCAATTATTCATAAGTTCAACAAAATTAGCCTAGGTACCCAACTAACACAATCAGCTATACCAGCTACATCACCACTGCTTTTACACTTGCTTCCGGACATCCTGGGCTTAAAATAGAGATACTGTACTACTGTATTGTACAGTAAAGTATACAAAAGTAGAATCACTTGCAAAGGATGCATGCAACATGACAATGTATGTCAGACACATGAACTAACTTATGTGATTAGACACGTGAATGTACATTTGCAACTTTGAAAGTTTGCAACCTAAAGGTTTGTATGTAGGGGACTTACTGTACAAACCTAGAGCAAAATATCTTCTTAGATGAAAATAAAATTTTTTATTGTGTGCAATAGTTTAAGTTAAATCAATTTAAATTACAAATAAGAGTCAGAACAAATGGGAAAAAGGGATCTTTTTGAGGTGATGGAAATATTCTAAAATTGGATTGCTGTAGTGGTTGTATGACTAAATATATTAAACAATAATTGAACTGTACATATAAAATGAGTGAATTTCATGGCATATAAGTTGTAACTCAATAAGACTGATAATAGCTATATAAAATGTAAGTTAGAGGATCTGATAATATTGCTAAGAAAAAGAAAGCAATATTTGTCTTAATCTAATCCAAAGCAGGTAATCTGCCTGTAGATAACTGGAAATGGACCTCACCAATTAGCCTTACTTTATGTTAGTCATGTTTATGCAAAGTTCAGCATTAAAAAATAGGAAATATACACACCCATAAAATGCACACATATTATGGGTTTTTTTTTGAGTTGGAGTCTCACTCTGTCACCCAGACTGGAGTGCAGTGGCTGCTCCCGACCACCGCAGCCTCGACCTGCTGGGCTCCAGCAATCCTTCTGCCTTAGCTTTCCAAGAAACTGAAACTACAGGTGTGCACTACCACACCCGGCTAATTTTGGATTTATTGTAGAGATGAGGTCTCGCCAAGTTGCCCAGGCGGGTCACGAACTCATGGGCTCAGGCAATCTACTCACCTCGGCCTCCCAAAGTGCTGGGATTATAGGCTGAGCCACCGAGCCCGGCCACATATTATGTATTTTTAAAAGTGTGCACACATATACACATGTGTGTCACCAACTTATACACATATATATTTAAAATATATAATATATTCCAACTAACTTGTTCTTAAATTTTGGAGCAATATTTTTACAGGAAAAAAAATTGTAGCCACAACCAGAATAAAAATTACACATAAGAAATGAAAAATTCTAACTTTTTTTCAAGTAGAATTTTGTTTTTATCAAAATAGCATCCACTTGCTTTAGTTTCTCATCAGAGCTCCCGTCAAATGGAATACACATACTGAGGAAATAATTCCAAGGAGAAAATTAAGTACAAAGATGAAAATCACTATGTTATTTTTAAAAATTAAAGAGGAAAAGGAGAGAACTTCAGAAGGCCCAAATGCAACAGTGATGGTGACAGTGACAGCATGGCTCCTATGTGTTCAGCAGAATTTCCAATCTAAGAACTTGCACATGATCAAAGGCAGCATAGCCACTTTTTAAAAAATGGATTGAAAAAAAAGAAAAAGATTATGGTAGGCAAAGCATTTACAAGGCACTTTGATAATATAAAGATGCAGGAGAAATTTTCTTTTTCCATCCCTAACTTTGGGTTATTTTACTCAAAGGACATTGTATAGTCACATTGCTGGACAATCACACAAAGCAAGAGGCACTGTGTGTTCCAACTGCTGCACTGTGTGTTGTGGCCTTGAGAAAGTTGCCTAAAAGACTCTGTGCTTTATTTGGTCAGACCAAAATGGGAGATAACCCTGCACCCTGGTTGGCAGGTGAAAGTCACAAACTGGAGGCAAAGAGCCCTGTCTTATCTTGTCCCTTCTCTTTCTAGAATGTTGCCATCTGTGGAAACTGAAACGTTGTGTGTCATCAACTTTGCTCATTTCTCAGGTGCCATGCCAAGATCCCGTTAGGACCCCGGAGCTCTGATCACTCACAGTCCTCTGGCTGCTTATTTCCTGGCAGGCAGAGAAGCAGCATGGGAAAGATGGCACAAACTGAGTGCTTTGTCCCAGGTGCTGGGATCCCAGCTGGCCTTAGTTGAAAATCTCACTGCATTCTCTGTTTGCACTTGCCAGTTCCACAACTTCCCCTTTATTCCATGACATCTCTAAAAGACTGTAAAAAATTCCCTCTTCTCACAGTTGTCACCTCACAGAATCCCCAGAGGCACTCGGTCTGATAGATGTCATCTTACAGATGAATTCCAGAGAGTTAGGCCACTGCCTGAGGTCACACAGCCTGTGGACTTCACAGCCTATGCCCTTTGTGCCTGCCTTGAGAATCTCTTGTAGGCAATTCACCAACTTGCACAGCTCATTTCACTAAGCACATTCCATAGCCAGATAAATCCATGAATAAGCCATTTTTAAACTTAAGTCTGGTGGCTGGTATATGTGGGTGAAATATCAAATGTGCCCCTGGGTAAGTCACAGAAAGGCACTTACATTCTGAAGGTGGGAGTGGGGGGTATGGCTCTTTATAGCTAGCTCCTCCAAACCCAGTTTTCCTTACACCTGGCTATTCCCAGTTGCTCCAGGCTGCACATAACTGACAACTTGCCCAGGGCGCACACACAGTAGGGGCCCCGCCATCCAGCCTCATCCCATTGATGATGAAGAGAAGGATAGCCACCACTTACCTTCAATTTTGCAGTCAAATCTAGCAGCACTTCCCTCCACAACTTCTAAATCGCGAATGGTCTTGGAGAAATAGGGTTTTACATGGGGCTTTTCCTCAGCGACAGCCTCAAGGAAAGCTTGGGACACATCTTCTATAAGGCAGAGAAGAGGACCAGGTCGTTTCTTCATTCCTTGTTTTCCTCTCTTCTAGTTTTAAAAATACTAACTTTTTAAAAAAGTTGCTATAATTTGGCAAATAATGCCAAATTATTTAGTTTAGAGAACTAAATTATAAGCATGCCTTTCTCCTGGGGACAGGCTGGCTGGTTGCCAGATGGTTTTTGGCAGAGGAGAGAACTGTGCTCAAACTGAGGAAATGTTCAGCCTCCCCCCTTTCCTTATGCTGACACATTGAGAAAGGAAATCATCTTTAAAAAGGATTTTTGGCTGCATTTCATGCTGTTTTCAGGATTCCGTTGAAGGGATCTGAGAGGGACAGAACCTCCCCAGCCATCCTGACCTTGGTGCCCCTGGCCCCCCTCCCTCTGCAGGTGCTCCCAGGAAAGGAGAAGCCAGGTCCTCGTGGCATCTTCGACTTGCCAGGAGTTCTGCTCTCCACTCTCATGCTGTCCTCATGTTGTATGTCCGTGGACCAGGCCGTGGGATTGGTCCAGGGAAAAGCTGTTAATTTGGAGGGACTTCTATATCCCCTCCCTTCCCTTCGGGCTATTTCTAGGTCATCTGGGGAATGGCAGGAGTGGCTCAGGAGGGACTAGGCCCATGTGCTTCAGATTCTGTTCCCAGCTGCAAGGAAGCTCCAGAGCAGCCAGCTACTGGCCTTGCCAATGACCCTGCCCTTGTGCAGCAAAGGGATGTAGACAGCTTCTCACCTGTAGATACAAAAAAATACCAAGCAGGGAGGGATGGAGGGTGTCTCTGGCCACATAGGGCACCTCAAGAAGAAAAGGGACTGGCCCTGTGTGCACCTGAAGCAGGTAGAGGCTGAGGCCTTCACTGAGGAGATGGATGGGGTAGCATCTCAAAGATGGCAGGCAAGTCACTAACCCTATTGGTCTCCAGGGCTCCACGAGGGGCCCTGCCCATCACTGTCTGCCAGTTCAAATGACATGATTCAGCAGCTTGAACAATGCCAAAAGAATGTGGACTGCATGAGTTAATTTTTGTTTAAAACAAAAACAAAAACAGTAGAAAAGAGAAGACTATTTAAAAATGTTACACAACAATATGTAATTTTTATTTTATTTTGCCTATCAATATACAACTATCACGTTTGTAATAAGAAAAAAGGAAGCTTTAATACAGTCATTATTCATTTTAAAACTATATGGGAAAGAATAGCTGAGGTCATCTAGTTCTATTAGACAAATAAAAACTTTCCTTCTGAAAAGAGTTAAACTTAGGGTTAAGCAATTAAAGAATAATCACTAGACTTGGCAACTGTTGTCAGGGCAACCAAAAGTATGTCTGAATTTATCCTTGTAGGACACATTAAAAAAATGAAACAAAACCAAAACCTCCAAATGCCCCTCTGTCCCCTAGCCCCTCCTTTCTCACCAGCTGGCTGGAGAGGTTCCTCCTTACCTTCAGATTCTAGTTTTTCTGCATTGAGCGGGCTGGTTGGTGACCCTGTTGAGGATTTCCTGCCACTGAGCCCTGAGATCATTGCCATAGAGGACAGTCTTCCAATGGCTCTCACAGCATTGCCCGTTTTCTGGAAGATAGACACTGGGGTTGGACTCTGGTGGTGTTCCTGGTTCCAGCTGGGCAGTACTGGGGCCTTGGAGGAGCAGAGCCTGGCCCAGGGGGTGGCAGCTGTTCCCTGGAACCAGTGCCTCCCGCGCACTGAGGTTCCGCCGGAGGAGTGAGCCCAACCTTGCTCTGCTCAGCACTATCAGCGTGTCAGAAGATGTTCAGAGAATGGAATGGGGCCTGGAACTGATGTGTGCGTTAATGTGACTAAACAAGGTCAACATGAGACAAAAACTCTTTTCATACTGTGCTTCAACTCCCATAAAAGGGATAGTTTATATAAAGCAACTGCAGGCTGAGACAGCTCCAAAGACTTATTGCTGTCTGGACTTAGTGGGGCTGTTTCTCGTAAAATAATGCCAGTGATATGGTTTTAATTGGTCAAGAGAATAGTTACTACAGATCCCACAAGTTCTGATGCAAAAAGAAGGGGGGAAATGCGGCATTCTGTTGCCCTTGGGCAAGTCACTTAACCTCTCTGAGCTTCAGTTTCCTGCTCTGTATAAGGAGGGGTTGGACAAGATGATCTCCAGGGTTCCAGTTAGCGCTGTTTATAATTCAGATACTTAAGAGATTTCCAGAAACACTCTAGCTGGCCCCAGCACAAGCCTTTGACTGGGCAGTGAAGTTCCAGAGGGGTGTTCTTCCCTGGTGTACATTCAGGCATCAGAAAGATGCATCCGATGGGAAAAAAAAAAAAAGTAACAGCATTTTGCTTTTCTGAGAATAAACTTTGGAGAGGACAGAATTTCTGCAGAAAAGGTTCAGATCTTAATGTAATTTCTTTGCATTGTGAAAATTCCATCAAGTATAGGAATTAGGTCGGGAAATTCCCAATAATGTACAATTTGTGTCTCTATTTCTTATCTTTCAATAAAGTTTTCACTCTTTTTCTAAGGTCAATGGGAATGCCTAAGAAAACTAAGGGAACCAAGTCCTTCTACCACTGCACCCAAAGCATCTTTTAGGCATCCAAATGCTATACATCTAGACAGCAGACGTCACCACAGACTGGTTACTTGTACCTTCTGAGAGAGGAAGGAAATAGCCTCTTCCTAGGCAAATGGCTTGTACTCACTCACTAGACCTCAAACTGTGCCAACAGAGGTGTTTTCCTCCTGAATTACCACACATGCTCAAGCATTTAAGCAAAGTCTCACAATTTTGGACTATCTGGAAAGCCAGTATATTTCAGCACAAAGGTTATTTTAAAGGTAAACAACTTCAGGGTGCTAAGGAATCATGCAGAAAATTATGTGTTGGCTGGGCTCGGTGGCTCAGCCGAGGCGGGTGGATTGCCTGAGTCCATGGGTTCAAGACCAGCCTGGGCAACTTCGCGAGACATCGTCTCTACAATAAATAAAAAATTAGCCAGGTGTGGTAGCATGTGCCTGTAGTTCTGGCTACTTGGAAGGCTGAGGCGGAAGGATCGCCGGAGCCCAGCAGGTCAACACTGGGGTGGCCGTGAGCATGCCACTGCATTCCAGCCTGGGCGACGGAGTGAGACTCCAACTCAAAGAAGAAAAAAAAAAAAAAAAGAAAATTATATGTCTTTTTGTGTGCACACGTGTGTGTTTGTGCATAGTTAAAGCGTAAATCTACTGCTGCAACTACATTACTTCAATGTCTGGTCCCTCCCCTTCTTGTCACAGACTATTTTCGTGCATTTTGGACAGACATCCCACATCCCACCTTGTTCTGTCCCATGGTCACCCATCTTCCCACACATAACTGTGTGATATGGGTATGCCTCTGGCTTCTGCTGCCTCAGTGAGGCTGGGTCACTTAACAGAACCCAGGAAGCCCCAGCTGGAGGTGATGAGGAGGAGGAGATGGAGGAGGAGGAGATGGTGAGAGATGACAACTGACCATGCAGAGGCACCATGGTGCAGAGGCACCATGGCCATACAGAGTATGTCCCTGCAGACTGAGGCTGATTGGCTGCCCTTCATGCTCATCTGGGAGAGGCTGTCACTGATAGCATCATTGATCTGTTGATTACACTAGGTGGTGTGGAGAGACCCAGCTCTTCCCATGAAACAGGTAACAGTACCAGCCAAACAGTAGCCCTCCCTACAGAGTCAAAGGCAGACCAGCCCACTTCCTAATCAATCCAGCTCTCAGCATCTACCCTTCTCAGCTCTCTATTTCCTTATCCAGATTGGCTTGCCCTGGGCTGGGCCTCTCTAAACTCAGAGGGTTCATTCCCAACAAGGGATAAGTTAGTTCTCTAACCACTGATTGCTGGGTAACCTTGTGCATATCAGTTTCCCTCTCTGAGCCTCTATTTCCTTGGAACGGAAACTCATTTTGTAGCTCTAGTTTTCTACAGAAAGGCTATGATTCATACACATGAATGTGTAACAGGGAATAACCATCCCACTGAGCTCATGGGCTCCCTAATTCTGACATCCGGATCAGGACTGATAGGACTGTTTTCACTTGGGTTGTGTGGAGAGAGGATGACTTTTCTCTTCTTGGTTTTATTTGATAACAAAATGACTATTATGAAATTATCAGAATGAAGCAAACAAATGAGTTATAATAGTTCAGAGGAAGTAGCGAATATATTAACAAATAAATAGATCTCACATGGGGAAATCTTCCAGTAGATGGAAATATCCAGCATATAATTTTTAAAATAGAAATATAAAAAGTGCTTTAAAAGGGAAATTTAAAAACAGTTTACATCAGAATTCCATTTTTGGAAATTAATTTGTAAAAAAAAAAAAATTGGTAAGGAAGTTATTTGTCAGAACTAGAAAAGAATATATCTATATCTAATCTTCCAGTTCCATGCTTTTGCAAAAATTGGTTGCTGTTTTACTGACCAAGACCTTTGGAAATTTTTAGAACATCAAAAGAGCAATGTTTCAATGTTCTAATTCCATCCATTTCTCATTTTGAGAAAGGCCTTTTCTTATTTGAGGGCCATTGCCAAAGCTGGTTTCCTGTGTCCCTGGCAGGCAGTTTCTGTACCAACCTCCTTAATGCGGTGCCAACTTCCTGGCCCTCGGAGAGCTAGGATGGCCAGCCACCCGGTTTGCCCAGGACTGTGGAGTTTCCCAGGATTAGGATCTTTTGCTGCTAATACTAAGACAGTCCCTTGCAAATCAAGGTAAGCTGGTTACTTTTGCACCAGCCAGCCATCAAAACCCCCCTCATGTATACCAACAGTCTCAAAACTACAATTTCCCCTGAGCAGTGCATACCATCCAAATGGGATGGCCTAGAATACTCCATGCTATGCTGAGTCTAATGTTTTCTCTCCTATTTCGTTTTGGTCCATACTGCTGGAGTCTTTGTGGTTCCCAGAAAATAAAGATGGCTGTCTGTCGGCCTCCAATATCTAGTCCTCTGCTTCTAGTTTGTGTGCAGAAGCCCTGTTACCCTCCTCAACTTAACTTATCCCCATTGCTATGCCTCACCAACATGTCTTTGTAAAATTCCTTTGATATAAATTTAAAATATGCCTTCTTTCAGAATAACTTCATTCTAAGATGAATAATATGATTAGTCATATATACCTAGCTTAGCATTGCTTGTAGGGATTAGTTTTCATGCCTCTTCCTTCCTTCTAGGGCTTTTTTTTGAAAAGCACGCCAGAACAATGAGGAAGTGCCTTCTCTGGCACAGCTGTAGGGAGTTCTGGGCCACCTGTGCCGCCCTGCTCCTCTCCCTCCCCCACCCCACCTCACCCCCCTCTGCTCCACCACACAGAACCTTAGCTTCTGCCAGGAGGAACCCTCTATTCCAGAGGGAGCTAAGGTCCTGGTGACTGGAGTTAAGATGTGGAAAACATTTTCCTAAGGCGGCAACATCACACAAGATGGTCAGAGAGAGCTGTACTATTACCGGAGAAATTGCGCTTTGGGGACATTACTTGTTAAATGGAATTTTGCGGGCTAGTTTTATGTGTAGTTTTGTGAAACCTGACCACTGATTGTGTAGAAAAATCATTTCCAAATGCTGCCACCTATATTAAAATATATGAAATTAAGGCTTCTTCTTTGAATTCTACCCTTTTCTTTTCCCCCTCACTTCCAGAAAACCCTACGTCTACTAATACTGTGAACAGGAAAAAAAAATTTATGTGGCAAAAATGTCAGCACAAGTTGGTTCTCTGACTGAAAAATCTCATTTACTCCCTCTCTCATTTCCTTATCTCTTCTCTGTGCCTGTGTCCTGGGCTTAGGTGTCCGCCTGGCTTTGGTCCACCTGCAGATGTTCTGAGGTGATAAGGCTGCCCTTAACCCACAGCCTCATCCAAGCAAAAACCAGTTAGACTCACTGCTCTGAACACTGCTCCACCCTGACATCAGTTGCCCTATCTTTCCAAAAATATTTCATAGGATCATGAATCCAGGCAGCCTTTGATTTTGCAGACTCCTTTTTGTTTGTGTTTTGTAAAGAATATTTGCTACTCTGATCCTAATGGCACCAGAAGGTAGGCAGTTACAGGTGTGCAATTCACCTTGCACTTGAGGGAGGCCAGAAGGCCTATCTAAACCTTCACATTAAGGGGCCTCACCAAGAACCGACTTCCACTGCAGAGCAGCTGAGGCTGAGATGAGTCTGGGATGGTCGTCCCTTAACCCTACACATGTGGCCCCTCATCCATCTTTGCTCTCTCTCTTAATCTATGTGTAACATTGTACTTTTTGAAAAAACTATGGCTTAGTTATCCTGCATGGCAAATGACCAGTGTTCCAGTTGTCCCCCTAACAATGACTTTCTTTTTCTATGCCACACAGGCAAGGTCTTGATGCCTCTTAGTCCCCTGAGTTTCCAGCTACAAGACTCTGTTCCTGTCCAGCTCAGCCCAGTCCAGCCCAGCCAGAGTGGGGTCCAGTTCCCACTGCAGCGCCTTCTCCCCTACCCGTGCTCTCACCTTCCCTCTTCTCTGTGCCCTAGCTCAGGTTCCATACCTAACTTCAAACTCCTGCCCTGCGAGCATTTCCTCATAACCACAGCCAACTCTGGGTGTGGCCGTCCCCATTCTCCAGGTCCCATGCACATATATGGTTATGGAGAGCTATACTGTTCTTTCATAATTCTTAGTGTGTGTTATGCCCTCCATGTCTAGTTGTGCCAGGTCCCCCATTGCACTCCATGTTCCCTGAGCAGAGAAACCATGTCCTCTCCAGCAGCCCAAGACTTTTATAATACTAGATGTGATAATAAAAATAATTTAGATGCGGATGGTGATAAGCACTTTATGGTTTTGGTGATAATTTTATCCATCCTGTTATCAGAGGCAGTTTTGTGTTGTGTGATGGCTGTGTACTTTGCAGTCAGGCCTTTTCACTTATTAGCTGTGCGGTCCTGGGTGACTTTCCTAGTCTTTTCTCTGCCTCAGTTTATCTGTAAAGTGGGAATAGTAATTGCACCTGCCTCCTAGGATTAAAAGACTTAATGCATAGACAGTATTTTGAATGGTCCCTGACCCATGACCAGCCTCAATGCATATTAGCCACTGGTATCATTTTTGGATGTTCACTATGTGCCAGGCATTGTGCTAAAGGCCATGTGAAGATCTCTCATATAATTATCACAACAGTGCTGTGAAGTTGGTGCCATTATTATCCCTGCTTTACAGATGAGAAAACAAATCCACAGCAAGCTCAAGTCATTTACTAAGAACATATAACAAAGCTATATATGTCCCTAGAGGGTGGGGACCATGTCGCTCGCTTTAGATCATGTGCCCTCCTCTTTCATTGTAAAGAAACACAAGACTTCCACACTGCTTTAAAGGAGATCATGTTTTCCAAGGTTGCCAAGTAGACCTTGAGGTGACATAGTTCATCTCTAGCCATGAAGACATGAAACGTCAGTGTCTTAACCTGACTAGGGGCCAGGCTGCACGAAGCCTCCCTTCCTGGTTCCTTGGACAAAGCTGAATAAAATTGGAGACACAGCTGTAGTTAAGAACCCGATTTCCCCTGAGAAAGAGACTCAAGGCAACACTGGACCTTGATCAGTTGACTAAATTGGTCCCAGGCTATTTCAGAAACAATTTTAAACTTTTTTGGAGTGAGGCCAGGGCAAGCTGGGAAGGAAAGTGACTTGAGTAAAGCAAATATAAGGGGCAATAATCCAGTCCAAAGCATGGCCCACATTACCTGCCATTTCCTTCTTGCCATGTACTTCTTCATCCGGTCCTTGGAGAGCTTCTTGGCCTCCATGTTCTTGGTGTCTTTCATTAGCCATGGATGCTGAAGGCATTGGGTGCAGTCCAGGCGGTTTCTGATGGAGGTAGAGATCAGAGGATTTCTGAACCGCAGGAAACCTCAGAAACCACCGGTTAGATCAGAAAATGAGATCACAAGGCAGAGCCTAGAGGCCAGGATTCCCAGACCATTCACCATCGTCAGGGCCATGGTGCTCTTCATCGTTCTCCTTACTTGGTCTGGGTCACACTGACTAGACCCAGCCCAGGTCAGTGTTAAGAAGGTCTAACACCAAGAAGGCAACTGGGGTCCTATGGTCTTGGGGTCTAGGAAGAGCAAATGCTGTTGGGTAGACACATCGGGGTTTGGTTGGTACTGTATTCCAGGGTGGACTCATTCCACTGGTCACATGAGGGCTGGAGCCCACAGAGGTCTAATCCTTCTGCCTCCGTCTGGAGGAGGGGAGAGCGAAACCCTAGGATAAAACCTCTGAGAATCACTGAACTTTCATGCCTTATGGTGTGACTGAATATCAGGTTTTTCCGGTTGCAATTGAAAGTATGTCCTACATATAACCTATGAATTATATGCAACTTTAGAACTACACTGAAACTCACTTAATCTTTCCTAAAGCTCTAGAGATCTAGAAAGATCTTAGGGCCACTGCCTTAATTGTAACAAGTCTAATAAAGCCTAGAGAGTCAAATGCTAACATACATAGAAAAATGATTGGAAAGAAGAATAACAAAATGGAGCAATATTTAATCATGGATTATTTAAAATGTACTATATTTTTCAAATCTTCTACAATTTACATGTATTACTTTTACAGAAAAAAGGATTTTTTAAAGTGCTGATAGGTGGAGATTTCCCGTTGAAGAGATGTTGGGCATAAGAGTTTATGGGAATTTAGTATCTCCATCTATCTGAATAAGATCAGCTCTTTGGTGAGTACATTTTAGGAGCACAGAAGGGCCCAATACAGCCTGTTACTGAATTAACTCAAGGTCAATGAGAAAATGAGGTGTATACACACGGTACCTCGTTTACCAAATCTTCAGTGAACAAAGCTTGATTGACAAAAGCCATCTTCGGACCAGAGTTACTGGGGGAGGTTTCCTTTTCCAGAGGCACCTTGGGTGTGGGGATCCCTCACATTGGAAGGGAATGTAGACCCCCCCACAACATTCCGATTCTCCTTGGGTCATGTTCATTTCTGATCTGGGCTGTAACAGCAAAAGGCTAAAAGACCCCACTGCCAAGGAGTGTGGAATGGGGCCTCTGGGGAAGCTTGGCCCTGAGAAGCTAAAAATGACTGAGAGGGGAGTGGGTAACAGGAAAACCAGACAGAGTTATGGAAGACACTGTCCAACGCTGCTCCTTTAGCTGCAACATTCCCCCCAGGGGGGAGCCAGCTGCAGCCTCACAAGGCTGCAAAGTCACCTAGGAACGCAGAGCCTCCTGCCGCCCTGGAGGGGCCACCCCTCCCCTTCTCCACTAGCATGCCACCCATGTCAGGGTCACCCCTCTGGGGCACGGCTGCAGATGCTCTCTAGGGTTGCCAAATATGGCTCCAAGCTCATCCACGCCCCCAGAGTCAGGCCCTGTCTCTTCTGGTCACCTATTTACAGAGTAGGTGAGGTGCCCAATAGGTGGGCAGGTGTTCTCACCTGAGACCCACTGCTCTCTTTCCCTGGGAAGCTCTCCCTCTCACCAGGACAGTCCTCTCACTGTCCTGCCACTCTCACTGTCTAGCCACTCTCACTGTCCACCTCCAGTCCCACCTCCCCACTCTAGTCTCCTCTGCAGCTCCAATCTCCATTTTTCCACTGAAACCCTGAGGGTCTGTGGGCCTAACCCTTTCCCATAGCCTGAGGCCCACACACTGGCCTCCCACTATCCATGCCTGTCCCATGTGCTCACCCACTGACCATGTGGGCAGCTCCAGGCAGCCCCAGGGGCCAGAAGTAGGGAAACTCACATTCTGTATTTTTGTGGGGGACAGAGATGGAGAAAGGAGAGGGCTGAGCCCCGTGGTCTGGTATCATAGACTCCCTTTGGTCAGTGTCGGAGGGTGCCTGGCCATATTCAGGCAGAATATGAAAACAAGGGAGATGGATATTAGTCATGCAGAACAGCTGCCCCTCTCCCTGCAATTTGGTCAAGTGTTGCTTTTTGAGTCAGGTGTGTGCTTCTAAAGATGAGTTTAGTGTTTAGCAACAGGGGTCTAGGAAGACATCTCCTCTCCATGCACACTTGGGCTGGGTCCCTCACTTGGCCTACCCTCCCCTCTTCAGGCAATACCAGGATTGACCCAGAGCTGGAATGGTAAGGAAGGAACCCCAACAGACAAAGGAAATCCCTGCCTCCTGACACCAGTGCAGGGAGTAGGGGAGCTGCAAAGACTGAAATCTCAACTCATTACTTCATATCTTTCTTCAGTAAGTTGCTGATGAAATCCTTGGCATCGTCAGAGATCTCATCGAATGCCTCATCGTCGAAGTCCCAGGTGGCTGAGGTGACATTGGCTAAGGTTTCATTATCGTTGTCACCCATGAAGGGGGAAAGGCCACTGACCCTGGGGAGACAAGAACAGAAGAACAGAGGATGGGACCACTCCCCGTCGCCAAGTGAATGCCGAGGTCAAAGGTGAGAGCAGGCAAGCTCCCTACACCCCCAAACTCATGCTCTGCTGGCTTTGCACCTGCCTTTCCTTCACCTGTGGAAAGAAAGAGGGTGTGGCTTCCCAGAGGCTTCTGTGGCCCTGTCTTTTCTCAGTCACTCATTGTACCTTGTTGCCTCTCGACACCACCTGCCTGTGAAACTGAGGTGGTGGAGGGAATTTGGTTATGTTTACAAATTTTCAAGTGGGTTAATAAACCCCTCTGTCCTGGTCTTCTGTTCTTCCCCATAGTCCAGGCTAGAACTTTCTCCCAGGCTCCTGCCCCTTCCCCATGGACCAGTCACGTGCTACAGTGATCATCACTGCACCCTTCTATCCCCTCTCCCACTTCCCTCTTCATACACCTTCCGTTCCAAGAAGAGGGCCCAGCACACAGGTGAGGCTCAACAAGTGTAGAGAAATTTTGAATCAGTCATGTTTGGGGCACCTGAGACATCTATGCCAAATTAGAAAGCTTCCCTGCATGGTACCAGGGCAGAAGAAAGAGCACAGCCTCTTTATTTGCCTCGTGCAATTCCCCTAATCTCTGTGTCACAGTTTCCTCCTCTAAACCAGAGACTCTGCTACTTAACTATAGAGTGGTTACCCCTTCATCATCATCAGTATCACCATGATAACAGCAGATAATTATTAAATATGTATTACGTGCCAGGCACTGGGTCCAGAGCTTAAAGCAGATGAACACATTGGATTCTAACACTGCCTTGTCACACAAGTGACTCTTATAACTTTGTTTTGCAAATGAAGAAACAGGCACAGCATAAGGTAAGTCACCAGACCAAGGATTCACAGACCGTGAGATCTGAACCCAGGCACCTCTCTCTTAGCTGCCACACTATCCTAACATTTCTACGGAGATTAAGCCAATTGCAGCGTTTGGCACTGTCACCAGGCCTGGTCCATGGTAAGGTGCCAGTCCGTGCCCAGAGATGTCACCCAGTTCTTCAGCATCACCTCCGCTGCCTCACCAGCCTGCGACTGCAGGAATGACTCAGTTACTAGTAGCTTAAGCCAAATACACTTTGGAAGGTCAAGAATCTCAAAGCCAAACAGACCAGATTCATGACTTCTTGGCCTCACCTCTGACCTCTGTGCACCTCACCTTCATACCAACGATCCACCCACTGTTCACGTTGACTGAGGGCTGGTCTCATGGGTGTTCCACCTGTGGAGTTGCCCAGAATCCCACCCTTACATGGGCCCCACGTTTGGGTTAGTGCTCTGCTGCCATCATCTAGAAATTCTTAGTAAGGTTCAAACATTATCCAGCTTTCTTCCTACAAAGAGCACATCTCTGGGATAAACACATGGAAAGTACACACAGCTTGTTTCAAGGACAATGCTCGACTTTTCAGTAATGCCGTTTCTGGGTGGGGGGGTTGTGACATTTAAAAAAATTATTTTGGGAGATTTTTTCTTTATTGCTAGAATTTGCATAAGGGATCACATGTCTTTTTATTAAAACAATAGTCTTTTTTGTTAAAAAATAAACCAGTCAACAAATACAATAATAACATTAGCATTAAAACACAACTCTTTACCTTCCTTCCTAGCCTTATCTAGTTTTTAAACCAATGAATGTATGTGGTTTTCACAAACCTGTAATCAATCTGAACAAGTTCTTGGATGCTTGACCTTTTTATTTGAAAATGATGAAGCTGGTCCTGCTCTGACCCCACCTGAGCTTTGTGAGAAGAGTCTGGGCTCTCGTCCCATCAAATTCTCAAGTTAGAACTTTACTAATGTCCCTTTTCCCCAATCCTTAGGAATTCATCATCATAAACAGTGTACTGACAGTTTCAGGAGCACATATTTGGCATTCAAGGGACCTCAGCTTATGAAATACACTCACATACGAACACTGAGCTTGGAAATACAAAACCCACTTGAAATATTGGGAGAAAGCTAGCCACAGGAGGAATCCTCTGGTGAAACATTTTATAAAGAGAATAACATTTTTGCAATGTGAATTATCTCACCCTAATCAGCATATTTTTGTTTTTGAATAATAGATTTTTGAGGATGACATTTTCTTAAAGAGAGAACCTGGTTTATGGTTTAAGAAGGCAAAGAGATATCACTGACATATCAAATATATATGGTCAAGTATACTCAGTCATGTCCCCGTGAAGGAAGGGTGGGAGTTTACCAGTCTCTGAATCTGCACAGTTATATGCTACTACTTTCCCCTCTGTGGGCCTCAGTTTCCCCTTTTATACACCGAGGGGATCTGGCTAGATTTCCTAGGGGTCTCCCAGCTCTTCCCGTCTCTGTGACCCTGGTGACCTATGCAAGCCCCATCAAGAGCAGCCTGTCTTCTTGCCTGTCAGCTATCTGCTTCTTCTCGTCTTTACATTTTCCATTTGATACAGAGGGGGGATGTCCTGCATCACTCCAAAAGATGGCAGGAAAAGCAAACAACCCTGCTGTGGAATGCTGAAACGTCCTCTTCTGCAAACCTCCTTTCCTAATTAGGAGCTGTAATCCTGCACAGATAGGTCTTAATCTCTGGAACGTTTGCAGTCGGGGAGAGCCTCTGGCCTCTGGCCTCTGGCGCTCCTTCTTTCTGGCAGCCCATCCATCTGAAATGCCCTTCACACCCTGGTTGGCTCCTCACCTGCCCGTGCCCCTGGTCCCCCCTGCTCCCCGCCCCCTTCTCCCTACAAAGGGCATACCTCTTGGATCGAACATGGGAAATAAGCACAACTTGCTGTCAAAAGCATTGTTCAAATTTTCAATAGTGCTGTTTCTAGGTGGGGAGACTTTGAAGGATTTTTAAAAAACTTTCTTGAGGAACTTTTTTTTATTGCTAGAATTTGCATAAGGAATTGAACATTTTTAATTTTTAAAAATTTTTTTAAAAAGTCATTATTTGTTAAAAAAAAAGTCAATAAATATAGTAACATTAGCATTAAAACACAACTTTCTACCTCCCTTCCTATTCTTATCTAGTTTTTAATTTTTAACCAATGGATTTATCTGGTTTTCACAAAATTATAATCGATCTGGTTAAGTTCTTGGATGCTTTACTTTTTCTTGACATATCATATACAGGGTTTTTACGTTCATTTTTAGTGGTCAGATATTAGTCCCTGTGCTGATGAGTCACAAAGGTCATAACTGCAGGGCATTCTAATTTCTTAATTCTCAATCTCCTTGCAGGAAACTTCACCAAGGGAATCTGATGCTCTCAGTGTAGAAGGATAGGTGAGCAGAGGGTCCAGAAATGCCTCTTGAACTATGCTTTCTCTACTTTTTTTTTTGAGTTGGAGTCTCACTCTGTCACCCAGACTAGAGTGCAGTGGCACGCTCCCGGCCACCGCAGCCTCGAAGTGCTGGGCTCCGGCGATCCTTCCACCTCAGCCTTCCAAGTAGCCGGAACTACTGGCGTGTGCTACTATGCCTGGGCTAGTTTTTGATTTATTGTAGAGTCAAGGTCTCGCCAAGTTGTCCGGACTGGTCTTGAACCAGCAGGCTCAGGCAATCCACTAGCCTCGGCCTCCCAAAGTGCTGGGATTACAGGCTGAGCCACCGAGCCTAGTCTACTTTTTTTTTTTAAGAGATGGGGTCTCACTATCTTGCTCAGGCTGATCTCAAACTCCTGGCCTCAAAAGATCCTCCTGCCTCGGCCTCCCAAAGTGCTGGTACTACAGTCAGAAGCCACTGCACATAGCATCTGTGTGGTTTTCAAGTGGTAGATAGACGACCCTGCTGTATGAGTGGCCAGCTAAGGGGATCACACATATGCCAACAGAACTATTGAATGGTTAAGAAGGAGTTTGTCTTTTTAGCCATCTGTTGGGAGAGTTGTGAGGCCTGGTCCACAGGAAGAGCTGGATATTGTTTTGTGCGATGGCCAAGAAAGCAGAGACCTGGGCTTTTGTCATGTTAACCAAGCCCAAGTCCCCAGAGAGCAAGTCCTGAAGGTGGTAATTAGATTTGGCAGGGGAACTTTGAGGTTGGAGATTGCAGGGCTGGAATCAGAGAGCATTTCTGGATTCAGCAACAGGGAAGAGAGAGGCACCCCTGGGCAGGGAAGGCAGAGGCTACTAGATACTAAAGAACCCTACCTACATCCAGACCCTGGTCTGAGGAGGCCCCCCTTGCTCTGGCACAGGGGGTCCTCCCCAGCACCTAACCCTAACCCTAGCCCCAGAAGAGCTCACCTGTCTCCCCACCACACACACGTCTTGTCTGTCCTGGCATTCCCTTGACCATACACACCAGGGTAGGGATGGATGCCAGCTCTCTGGACCATGACAGGTACTCAACAAACCAGCCGAAATGGGAAGTATATGTTGTTGAGTCCAGTCAGGATGATGGCAATGTGGAAAAAGCAGAACTGTAATTGCTGATTCGCTTTGGTTTGGGGGATGGGTGGGAGTGGAGAGAGTTTGGAGTAGGGATGAGATCAGGCACAGAGAAGAATTGTTTTGGTCTTCCCATAGGCAGTTAGGGAACACCAAGTCCAGGAGATAAGGGAGAGCGAGGTAGCAGGAGGAAGGTCTCATAAGAGGAGGCGGCTTGGCTGGGCCCGGTGACTCAAGCCTGTAATCCCAGCACTTTGGGAGGCCGAGGTGAGGGGATTGCCTGAGCCCATGGGTTTGAGAGCAGCCTGGGTAACTTGGCGAGACCTCATCTCTACAATTAAAAAAAAAAAAATTAGCTGGGTGTGGTAGCACGCACCTATAGTTCCAGCTACTTGGAAGGCTGAGGCAGAAAGATAACCAGAGCCCAGCAGGTCGATGCTGGGTTGGCCATGAGCATGCCAGTACACTCCAGTCTGGGCGACAGAGTGAGACGCCAACTCAAAAAAAAAAAAGAGGAGGTGGCTTTATGATTTCTTCCATATGGAAGCATGGTTCCAGCTCCACTGTACTCTCTTCCTGCAGAAACCACATTGGTACTGCTAACTTCAGAAGGTCTCCAGGTACTCAAGTCATCTGAGATCCCTCTTCAAGACTCCACCCGTTCCTTCCCTACCGGCCTGGAAACCCAGGTGGGCCAGTGCCTCCAGTGCCAAAAAGGAACTGCCCTGATCTCTGGCTGAGTGTGAGTGAATGAAGTCGGATCACCCTATGGTGACAGGGCTCATCACTCTCCCTCCCACTCCCTGGCCTCTCCATCTCTCGCAGGCCTCAGCAGAGATGGAGATCAGGAGGGTTCTCTGGTGCAAAGGTGGAAGTGGTGCTGACAGAGGCTGCCAGTCAGACAGTTAAGCACCAAAGAGAATGGGGCAGAGGGTGCCATGAGGGCCACCAAGAGCCTCTTCTGGGTGCCTCCAGCAGAGGCCCAAGGGTTCTTTATAGCAGGGCTTTAAAGGAAGCCATCTTGCTGACTCCAACTTTTGTTTTTGGCACCAGTCTCTTCCTGGAGCCCTAGCTTGGGAAACTCCCAGACTTCCATCCGCACTGTAAGAGCCAACGTGGAAAAGCCCCAGAGAACAGTGACTCACAGTGGGGGCCCAGGAGCCAGGACACTGCAGGGCTGACCCTGGCTCCTCGCCTGCCTCCTGGTAACACACTTTTCTACCTCCCAACACCCCTGCCTAAACACCTGCAGCATCAAAATGATTTTCTCCCCACATTACAAACACCCCCCTATTTCTTGGTCTTAGCTTTAAAAGTAATTTAGACAAAGTAGCACAGTACCCAAATTACAGTGCTCTTACACACACACGTACACATACACACAAAGTTTTGTTTTACAATCAAGTTCTCTTATTACCCTGTAATTCTAGTTCTAGATTATATGCCCAACAGAAATATATAAATCTGTTCACTGAAACACATGTACCATGTACCAGAGTACATGTAGACACTACTCAAAAGCCCATACGTAGAATGGATAAAACAATTAAATGATATTCACACAATGGAATACACCACATAACAGTGAGAGTAACCTCCAACAACACATAATAGTATAAATGAGTCCCACAAACAATGTTGAACAAAAAAAGCCAGTGTACATTTTTTTGTTTGCTTTAGCTCAAGAACACATAATACTAACCCATGACTTTAGCTGCAAGATTAACGGCTACACTAAGGACAGTAACCAGGAGGGGGTACCAGAGGACTCCGGTGTCCAGGCAGTGTCTGGTTTCTTGACCTGGGTAGAGGTTACTCGAGTGCTCACTGCAAAAACTTAGTCAGTGTTGGGTGTGGTGGCTCACGCCTGTCATCTCAGCACTTTTGGAGGCTGAGGTGGGAGGAGCCCAGAAGTTTGAGACCAGCTTGGAGCAACATAGAGAGACTTCACCTCTATGAAAAAAAAAAAAAAATCAAAAAAATTTAGCCAGGTGTGGTGGCGTGTGCCCATGGTCCCAGCTACCCAAGAGGCTAAGGCGGAAGGATTGCCTGAGCCCAGGAAGCCCAGGCTGTGGTGAGTTGTGATTGTGTCACTGCACTCCACCAGCCTAGGTGACAGAGAAAGCAACTCGAACACATACACACACACACACACACACACACACACACACACACACACACAAACACACATGTGGGCTTCCTTGGCCTCAGTCACCTCATCCCAAATGAAGATCAACTCCCTGCTATGACCCATCCCAGGTTTTTTCTGAGGCTCCAACAAGATCTCATGTGAAAATCTGTGGCTGCAAATGACCCCTAAGCTGCAGCGGTGGGAAAACCAGCTGAAGGGCAAACAGTAAGGCAAGTCTCCTTGATGACTGGTGAGGGACCCTGGGACCAAGCTGGGCCGCGAGGCAGGTGGGTCTACACAGAGTGAGCTGACCAAGGACTGTGTCTCCAGGGCCAGGTGTTTCCCCAGGGGTCAGAGATCAGTGTGAGCACGGTCCAGGCCTGGGCACCCCTGGAAGGAGTGGGCTGGGCCACTGCCCTGCTGTTCCATACTCAGCACGGGAGGCAGAAATGAAGCATCAGGTGCCGTTGTCATCTTTACTGGTCTGCTCCTTTCTCTGGAGAGGGGGCTGAGGTGGGAACAGGCAGGGAGATGCACACCTGGCCAGGAGTCTCTCCACTGATCTTGGGGAGGCTGTGGTGGTGGGGCAGGGAAGAAGATGACTGCCTGGGATCAGAATCCATGGGGCAGGTTCCACTGAGGGGCTGTCCCAACAGGCCACAAAACTCCTGAGCGTGTTCAAAAGCCACATTGCCCAAAAGTCACCTCATTTCTGCTAAAGCATTTGTAAACCCAGCTGTGCATCAGAATCACCTAGAGCCTTTTCTGACACTGGTGTCTGAGGACCCCAGGAGTCTGAGAAAGTATTCTAAGAGGTTCCTCTCAAGTTGTCCGTGAAAATGTTAAAGGTTTCCTTTTGTTTTGACAACAAAAATGTTTTGATGAGCACATACACATCTGCACCTCTGGGAGACCATCCCATCACTGCATGTGGCCACACAAACTCAGGGGCTGTCTCTGAGGCTAATGGCTATCTGCATGCTGAGGTTCTGGGGACTCCATCAGCAGCAAGACCCTACCAGAGAGTGTCCTTGAGCCTTGTTACTCAAAGTGTGGTCTTCGGGCCAGTACTGTTGGCTACTTGGGACTATTAGAAACTTGGAAGCTCAGGTCCCCCAACCTGAATCAAAACCCGCAATTTAAGGAGACACTTGGGTGATTCATGCATGCCAGCATTTGCAAAACCCTGGCCAGATCACCAGCCTCCCTGCTCTTTCTGCAGCATTACTTATTGAAATGCCTTCCTATTTTCCACCTCATTTCCCGATTCTAATTACTATATTGCTTCCTGTTGTCTGTTGGTCCCAATGAAGGCTTTATCATCAAAAATCAAAAGTGCTTTTTTCCTTTTTTAGGGTCTCACTCTGTAGCCTAGGCTGGAGTGCAGTGGTACAATCACGGCTCACTGCAGTCTCGACCTCCTGGGCTCAAGCAATTCTCCCTCCTCAGCCTCCCAAATAGCTTGGATTATAGATGTGCACCACCATGCCTGGCTGTTTTTATTTTTATTTTTTTGTAGAAACAAGTACTCGCTATGTTGCCTAGGCTGTCTCAAACTCCTGGGCTCAAACAATCCTACTGCTGCAGTCTCCCAAAGCACTGGGATTACAGGCATGAGCCACTTTGCCCAGTGAAAGTGTACATTAAGCAGCCCGTATACTGGACTTGGAGACAAGGCTAGCAGTTTGGAGTCCCCATACCCCCATCCCATGAGTATGGGGTGCTCTCCACTGAAGACAATGAAGATGCCCTGAGATCTGCCCCTGGGTTCCCGCCCTCCTTCTTTGTGGACCCACCTACTGCGTGAGGATATATTACATGGTGCCAGTCACATTACCCATCCTCCTGATCAAAGGCTCCAGGATGGCCAGGTTTGGGGACAGTGCAGGCCCAAAGTTGGGAAGTCAGTATGGAGCAGTCTACTGACTTGTCGGGAGCCCAGAGCAGGGTGGGCTGATGGGGCTGAGTCTAGGAGCTGTCCTCCTGACTTGGGGCAGCTTGGGGATCTTCTTATCAGAGCAACTTGAGGACCTTTCTGATTCAGGGAAGCTTGGGGACCCTCCCGTGGGACTCACGGTCCCCACCCTGTGTGCCCCAGGACTCACAGGATGTAGCAGATGACCCCAATGCTCCACATGTCTGTGGCGTAGCCGATAGGCTCGTAGTTGATCACCTCAGGCGCCACAAACTCCGGAGTGCCAAAGAGGACCTTCAGGGAGCCTGCGTTCTCTGAAACGAGGATAGAGAGTGATTAGTCACCAGCACATTGCGGAGCCAGCTCGTGGCGAGCAGCTGTCTGCATCTATATGTTGGCCCCAACCTGGGAGAGGCACAGGCCCAGGCTCAGCCCTTTGGGCTCTCTCCTTGGATGAGACACTCAGCCTCCTTATGACACAGGTGCATCAGCAGCCAGTGAAACCAACCAGCCGCTTACTCGCGCCAATGTCCTGAGCGGGGCAGGGAGGGGGAGATGAGGCTGGTAAAGCACCTGCCTCAAACAGTCTTTCTGTGCATCTGTCTCTCTCATGAGTTAGCTCCCTGATGCAGGGACTGTGACTCTTGCTTAATAACAATCTAACGTTTACAGACTCTGGCATTCACTACATCCTATGTGCTCTGTTCCCTGCATTACTAGGATTTGCCTGTTTGATATTCTCACCAGGCCTAAGAGGTATGTACGATGCCCGCACTACTGAGGACAAGCGTGAGGCCCAGGGAAGTAGTGATTTCCCCACCCAGTTAGTTCGTGGTGGTCAGGACTCCAACTAGGCTGTCAACTCCTTTCCTACTTAGCCACACAGTTGCACGGCTCTCTTCCATGGGCTGCCGGGAGGGAATGGGAGGAGGCCTCAACTCATGGTGGGGCTTCTCAGCCATAAAGGACCAGAGATGCCTGTTAGCATGACCTAACTGCAGGCACCTTGGGAAGATGCCAGCTTCTGGGAAATATTATCATCAGGGCAGGTGATAAACCCTTGGCCTTGGGCTGCACCTAACCTTGTCTAACTTTGCAGAGCCCATGTCCTCAAAGCATTTAACAGATCTCAGACTCCAACTCCTGCTCCTAAAAACCCTTCCTACTACATTTTAACCTCTTCCCAGTTCCCTCCATTCTGGTCCTTGGTGGACACTGCTATTCCCACAATATCTCTCACCGAAGGAACCTGGGCGCTGTGTTCCTGGGCTCTGACACTGCTGGCTCCTGAGGTTAGATCCTCCTTATTCGTTTAATTTATTAGTGGTTACTGTTCAAAGCCCTGTGTGCCATCCATGCCACCACTCTGTCCCTTTAGTAGGACAGAGCAGAGTAGGTTCATCTGCCCAGCATGGGGTGTGTTCTCATCGACTGTGCTGTCACCAGGCCGGTCATGGCCTGTGAGGACCTCACCCCTCACTTTCCTCTTCAAAAGCAATAAAGCCCCAACCAGAACTGGGCACACTGGGAGGAGATTTCCTGGGTGGCACTAGCTTGGCCCACTCCTTCCTGCATCTCCAGGGGGATGAGGTAAAGACAGGCTCACCCCAGGCCTGGGGTTTCTTCTGGGGACAGCAAAGCTGCTGTGACATCTAAGGGCTACAGAGGCAGGGTGGCCATGGGCAGAGTGTGAGGCAGACAGCCACTGACCAACATGCCTTCGGGCGTGAGTTTGAGGCCCTGACCGCCTCCCCCATGACACCCCTCCTGCTTAGTGCGGGAATAGCAGAGGCCCTACCAAGCACACTGCGTGGGGCCCAGGGGCCTTATGCCAAGCCCAGCCCTTCTGCTGGCTCACAGTGGGCCCTCCTGGGCTAAGCTGCCATGAACCTCATTTCCTAATCTACACACGGAGACTCATAAAATCTGCCCGGCCTACCTCACAGTGAGAATCAATGGGATTTTTAAAATGTGAAAATGCAGCCGGGCTCGGTGGCTCAGCCTGTAATCCCGCGCCTTTGGGAGGCTGAGGTGAGTGGATTGCCTGAGCCTGCGGGTTCGAGACCCGCCTGGGCAGCGAGACCTCATCTCTACAATAAATCAAAAAATCAGCCGGGCGTGGTAGCGCATGCCTGTAATTCCGGCTACCTGGAAGGCTGAGGCGGAAGGATCGCCGGAGCCCAGCAGGTCGAGACTGCGGTGGCTGGGAGCGGCCACTGCACTCCAGTCTGGGCCACAGAGTGAGACTCCAACTCAAAAAAAAAAAAAAAAAAATGTGAAAATGCTCTGGAAACTATAGTATGCTGTAGATTGTAGAGCCATCATCATCAAAATGAGTTTTGCTGCTAATGGCACCAGAGCAAAAACAAAAGGGGCTCACCATCATCGTCGTTATCATCATCCAATAAACAGCTAACACCTACGTAGTGCTTATTATGTGCAAGGCACTGTTCCTGTCACTGTAGGTTTATAAACACATTTGCTCCTGCCAACAAATCTTTGAGGTAGGTACTCTATGATCCTACTTTATAGACAGGGAGTTTGAGGCTTACAGTCACACAGCTAGGAAGTGGCAGGGGGAGGGTTTGAACCTGAGCAGGCTTTGTGGTCTCTGGCTTAACTCCGATACTGCACGCTGCCTCTAACACCCAGTGTGTGGGACGCAAACAGCCACTGCAATACATGGCGGTCACAACAGGAGTAGCGCATCAGCCTTACCTAGCCTTCTGGCCAGACCGAAGTCGATGAGCTTGATCTTGGTGCCTGTCTTGTTGACACACATGATGTTCTCGGGCTTGAGGTCCAGGTGCACGATGCCCTGCTTGTGGATGTACTCCACTCCCTCCGAGATCTGCCGCATGTACTTGATGCACTCGCGCTCTGTCAGCTCAAAGTCTTCGTCGATGATGCGCTCAAACAGCTCACCCCCTGACACGCTGCGGGAACAGGAGGTGGGAAGAGGACAGGGGTGGTCAGACCGCAGGTTCACGGAGGCCAGGCTGGCAGGGAGTCGGGCCAGGGGAGGCTGGGCACTGGGGGAACTGGCAGGGAATGAAAGTGATTGGTGCTTCCTGAGTCCCAGTCTTCCATCATGGGAGGAGGGTTGGGCCTCCTCGTTTCCTACTTGGGGGACCCTGCCCTGCACCCACAAATCTTCTAAGGACTCAGGGAAGCATCTAGGCCAGGTGGTTTCAGGTAGGTATGAACGGAGAGCTCCAGACACCATCTCCTTAGCAACAAGGGTGACTGCTGAGCAGTCTCTATCCCCAAATGACCATAGACGCCCAAGGGAACATTCTTGTATCTGAGCCATGACTTTTAGTCACAGGGAACTTAAATTTAAAATACAGCTCCCCTAAATATTTATTTGAACAACTAGGAACAGAAAAATGTCTTCAATAATAAGGAGCCCCTAGAATTAGTTGGCTATAGCCCATCATACCTATGGTTGTGATAAGCATGCACACTCTGGCTAAGCCTAGAGTATCAGTTACTTCTCCACCCACAACTAACTTGCCTCCTAGACCCCTTCTTTGCCCAGGCTGAAAGTAGAATCCTTTTACCTGGTTAGACTTTGGATCTTGGCCATGTCCAATCAATTCCATGTTTCTGTAGCCCACAGCCCTGTATCCTCTGCTAAGGACTGCCCAGGGCCTCAGTCAGTCAGCATACTGCCCTTCAGTGAAAACGCAGGGCCCCCTGCCTTAGTTACACGGGTTCTTTCTGTTCCCCTGTGCCAGCCCTCTGACTCACCTTCCTTGCTCACTGTTTAGCAAGTTAAAGCAGCTCCTTGGTAACTCACACAGCCCCCAGATATCTAGGCCCACCAATTGAACAAGGCTGGCTGGGCTTTGTTCTGGGCCTGTTCTCTTAGAACGGTGCTCCCTCTCCTAGGGCAGTGAAGAGGGGAAGAAGCTGAGTTTCAATCTTGTCTCTGCCTTTTATAAGCTGTGTGACTTCGGGCAAGTTGCTTAACCTTCTGAGCCCCAGTTTCCTTATCTGTCCCTTCCTCATAGAGTTGTTAGGAATGTAAGAACCTTTTGTGAAGTATCTTGCCTAACACACTGTAGGTACTCAGGTTATATTTAATTATTGTTTGACAACCTGTGGTGGGCCCAGGTGAATCTTGTCACTGACCCCTGTGGGAAGGAGGACACAGGGAGCGCTACAAGCCTAGCATCCCACAGCCTGTCGGCCACATGACAAATTTGGAAGGGCTGAGCTGGGAAGGGGCAGTCTGTGCCAGTGATAGGTGGGGGGAGCTAGAGCTGATGTTTAGAACCAACGTGAGAAGAAGGTCCCTGCACAGCCAGCAGGTGGCGCCTCTTGTTCTAAGCCCGCCACGTCTATAGCTCCCCATCCAGGCTCCAAGTCAAACTCTGATCTACATTCTTAGGTCTCAGCCAATTCTTACATCTCTGTGCCTCAATTTTTTCATCTGTAAGACTCAGATAAAAACAGCACCACCTCACGAGGTAGCTGCAAAGCCTGGATGAGTTAACACAGGTAAAGTGCTTAGAAGAGGGTTGTGCACATAGTAAATGCTCAGTGTTAATTATCAATTCCTATTTTAAAGAATTACTTGGGTGCTCTTGTTAAAGATATAGATTCCCAAGCTCTTCCTCTGTAGATTATCATTGAGATAATCTTGGGAGGGATTTGAGGATCCATATTTTTAATAAGTATGTCAGGCCATTCTTATGGTCAGACAAGTTTGGGAAATACTGGCTTACTACCATTCCTGCAAGGTCTGCTGAAATTTATGTCCTCTGATAAATCAACCCATTTCCCCATACGAAATGATCTTTCCCTCCCTAGGCATCTACCGCCTTGCCTCTGCATTTTTTGTATCGAGTCTGCCCCGTCTTAAAGTTGTTTGTGAAATGTCTGCAGAAGGTCTGGCTTCTGTCTAGACTCGTATTTTCATCTGACGATATCTGGCACAGACAAGGTGGGCCAAAAGGTTTGCTTTTAAATTTAAAAAATGATGAAAAAACAAGCAACCATGATTTCCAGTGCCTGTGGGAACATCCGAGGCAATGTTGGTTGAAATCTGAGCCATGGAGATAATTACTGCTGCATTTCTAGAGGTAACTTTTTCAGTGTAAATTTTAATAGGTTCAATCCTATTCAAACATATTTAACATATTTTGAAAATTGTTCCTATGGTCCACTTCCCAGGATGGAAGGGGTTAAGCAAGCAGGGTGAATGGTTCTGCAGGTTTCTTTCCAAAATGCTCAATGCTATGGGTGGGAAGTATTAGTTTAATAGTAATAAGTCTCCACCTACAGAGATGGGACAATGCCAAGGACCAAGATTGGACCAGAGGATATGTGAATGAGTAAATGTGAATAAGTAAATGAATGAATACCTACTGTTACCAGGGCTACCTAATCCCAAGGGATCAAATTTATTCCCAAACTCTAGACATTGGCCAGCCCTCATGGGCAGCCAGAAGGAATGGTGCTATCAGGGGACTTGACACCTGGACTCCTTGTCTCATGGCAGCCAGCTGGATGTCCTTTAATTAATTGTGCTAACAGTAGTACAAAGGTGAGATCAGTCATGGATGACTCAGCCTAAACTTCACATCCTCTTCAGTGCTCAGAGTCCCACTACCACCTGGAACATCCCGAGCACTTCCAAAAGGACAAGCCCAGGCTCCCAGCACAAAGGATCACCTGTCTCAGGACAACAGTTGTATGATGGGGACTTGTCAAGTAACCGGAAGTCAGGAAGGCTGAAGACACATTCATTCTTATTTCTTACTATATCTGAGGCAACTGAATTGAGGGCTGAGACCCTGGAATACGTTTTCATTCTTCCACAGCACCAGGCATCATCCTTCTCTTAATCTCAGCTTCTCCATCAAACAAGGAGAATAGCAAAGTACTCTGGTGGAAATCACCCTTTCCCCTCTCAGTGGTCGAGTCTCACAATGTCCAAGCTGGAAGGGATACACAGATGAAGTAGAAACCTGCTCCCTTTGTCTTCAGTTGACTGAGTTCCTGTCAAGAGGCAAGTTTCTTACCCCGAGTGTAGAAAAATCTTGTGGCATCTGGGCATGAAGACCTGCTCCTTTCCACGGGGGAGGCGCGGGGTGGAGGGATGAAAGCCAGACCAGCTGAAGCCTTGTTACGTTTTCTCTCGACTTTTTCCATCCAGCTTGCCAGCTCCCAATTCCTAGCTAAGTATGGTATTCTGCCCACTGGTGCTGCTGCCGGGCCTCACCCAGGAGGCCCTGTTCCCTCCTGCCCCTCCCCACACCCTCTCACAAACTTGCTCAAGGTTTAACTTCTAAAGATAAGACATTTTTGCACATGTCCTCACATGCCCATACTTCCTGGACTAAGCAACCCGTTGTAGAATAAATGTGAAAAGATGTAGCCCACAGGGCCATTGTGAGGGTGGAATGAATGAGGGCACAGACATGGCTAGATACTTCCTGAAAGTGGAGAGGAAAGTTTGAACTGGGAACTGAAAACATCATAAGATACAAATAGAAATTTTCTACTACTCTTTTATGTTGCATAAAATTGTAGAATTTTATAGTCAAAGGGGGAGTCTTGAGATTGAGTATTCTCAACCAAATACCTCTTCCTGCTGGTAGGATTTAACAATTACAAAATCATGACTCAATAGTAGCAGAAACTGAAGCCAGGCTTCCAGAATACCAGGAAGGATAGATTTGTTTTGCAACAGCTAGTTGGATGTTAAATGCTCAAAGAGTATTTTTAAGTGGAAAAAAGACCAGGATACAGAAAAAGTCAATGCGTCAAACCACTCACAATAGGTTCCCATTTTAAAGAACTGTGCTTTACACGCATTATTCCATTTAATACCCACAGATTCATGAGGAGGTGTTAATATCCTCTTTTATGGATAATAAGACACAACTGATCACTCATTTAAGGGCAAATAGCAAGTAAGAGACAGAGCTGGGATGTGAAGTAAGGTTCATCTGACTCAAGTCTTCGCTCTTAACCACTATTGCCTTTCCTAAGGAACACAATGGAAGAAAATACCTGCAGGCCAGAATGTTAATGGAATGAGGGGAGAGAAAAGACTAATATTGCATCCACACCTAAAGCCTGAGGATGTCTTAGTGGCCTCACAAGAATGCCAAGATGCTGATAGAGTCTTCTCCAAAGGACTGGGATCTCCAGGATTCAGGATGAGCAGTTCAAAGATGTTGAAGGCAATTTCACAATCTCTCTAAAAGTTTCAAGTGTACATACACTTGCTCCAGCACTCCCTCACTTGTGAAATTTATCCTATAGATATACACGGGCATGAGTGAAAAGATGTGTGTACAAGATTACAAACAGTGCTTGTTTGTAAAAGCAAAAGACCCAACCTCTGTCAAAAGAAGACTGCTTAACTAAATTGTGACATATTCACATAACAAAACCCTGTGGAGCTATGAGAATGAGGAAGCTCACTGGGTCTCAGTACGGGGCTACTCCCATAGCAATTTGCTGAAAAAAGCAAAGTATAGAATAGCAAGTACAATAAGATATCTTTTGTGTTAAAAGGCAGGAAAATAAGAATATATATGTTTATATTTTCCTAAGGAAACTCTGGAAGGATACAGGCAAAACAAATAAAACCATTTACCTTTGGTGGTAGAAACAGGGTAGAAATGAGACTTTTCACTCTGTATTTCCTTATATGTTTTGATGTGATTATATCAAATATTCAAAAAAATCAGAGTAATGAAACTCTTTAAAAAATATAGGTGCTGTGGAGGATGCTTGGCTTACCAATGCCAGTGTGTATGTTTAGATATGTGTATTTGTGTGTGTGTGTGTGTCTACACACGTGTACCATCAGCTCAGAGGTAAGGGAGGTAGAGGATTGGGATATAGAAGAAACAGGGATTCTGGAATAGCCTTGGGTGGAGGTCATCTGCTCCATCCCCCTGCCTTTGTACAATCAGCAGGGAAAGCGCTACTCTTTAGTGAGTGAGAAGTCAAGAGTACAAAGCAGGGTGGAACGGGCATGCGGAGGCACAGGAGACTACCGGGCAAGGGTTCCATCCTGTATTCTAGTCCCTAGCCCTGGGTCCCCTTGTTTTTCACAGGGAAGTCAGGAAGCTGCCCTGTCCCCCCTTGGACTCTAAGCCAGCCACAGGTGAGAATGCCCCTGACCAAACCAAGGAGCCTAGGAAATAGCTCTGGCCCTTTCATTGGGAGATGAAGGTGAAAAGAGTCAAGGGTCCTCAAAGATCTGCTGGTTTGTTATGGAAAGGAGCGTGGGACTGACCAGGCTGGGATTCAGTGGGTCAGGGCCAGCACTGTTGCAGACCTTCTGGTCCTGATTGGTTATCCCTGGCCATAGGACTGGTATCACACCCTTGCATAACACACCCCTGTCTGCAGGAATTTCCATCTTGGGGCAGAGTTGGCTAGGGTGGAGCAGGGGGAGACACATTTGGGGGCTCATGGGTCCACAATGTCTGGGCTGCTGGCAGCCGGCCACTCACATCTCCAGGACCATGACGATGTTGGCCTTCTCTTCGAAGGCATCCACACACTGGACCAGCTTAGGGTGGTGGAGGCAGTTCATGATGCTGATCTCCTGCCGGATATTCTCTTTCTCTTTTGCTGAATATGCCTTGAAGAATTTCCCAGCCCAGATTTTTCTAGTTTTCTTTTCTACAAGTCGAAAGACCTGTCCAAATTTCCCACTGCAAGTGAAAGGAGGAGGAGACAAAAGCCAAATTTAGTTTAGCTACAATATGGGTTGTGGGACAAATCTGGCCCGTCTCTTTTTTTTTTTTTTTTTTTTTGCGTCAGAGTCTCACTCTGTTGCCCAGGCTGAAGTGCAGTGGCACACCCACAGCCACCCTTCCGCTTCAGCCTTCCAAGAAGCCAGAACTACAGATGCGCGCTACCACGTCTGGCTAATTTCTTGATGTATTGTAGAGACGAGGTCTCACCAAGTTGCCCAGGCTGGTCTTGAACCCGTGGGATCAGGCAATCCCCTCACCTCAGCCTTCCAAAGTGCTGGGATTACAGGCTTGAGCCCCCACGCCTGGTCTCACCTCTTTTTATAAGTCAGGTTTTATTGGCACATGGCCCCATCCGCCTGCTTACATATTGTCTGTGGCTGCTTTTGTGCTACAGTAGCAGAGCTGAGTGGTTGCGATGCAGCCCTATGGCCTGTAAAGTCTAAGACATTGACTATCTGGTCCTTTATGAGAAAGGTGTGCTGACCCCTGTTGATCAATGAAACTCATGTCTAATGTTGACAAACCTACTCCCTATCTTGACTGGCAGCCCTTTCTTTCCCTCCTTGCAGGACCCATGAAGTTGGGTGGAGGTAACCCTTCCTCAGCACAGAGAATTACTGAATGGTTGCCTTCCTCGCACTGATGCCCTGGCAATAGCCCTGGCAATAGCCCAGGCAGGATCCTGCTTCCCAACGTGGGAGAGGGTAGCGGGGGGTTCCTTGACGGTGTGGACTCCTTTTACAGAGCTTCTACCAGGTTTGCATTGCTCCTTCATTTTCCAGAAACCACTGGAAATGCAAGCTGAGTCCCGCTCTTTTTTTTTCACCTCCTGCACTTCAGGGATGGAGGGTTGGGGGGAAATGCGCAGCTTGGCTGTGACTGGGTCTGGGGTTGGAGTCTGAACCCACGGGTGTCCTCCACACCCCAGGGAGGATCCAGAGTAAACAGTGAGGGACATGCTCATAAAGGGGGCTTGATGACCTCTGTGAATTTCAGTGGAGCACTAGGAGGGCATTGCTGGACAGCAAGCACTGATCAGGCTCCACTGACTTCCGTGGATCAAATGGAAGGGATTCCAGAGATGATCTGGTCCTGATCCAGTCCCACTTTAATCTTGTGCTGAGAACGGAGGCATGAAAAAGGAAGGACTAGCCCACAGTTTTTGCAGAGCCTGGCAAGTGCAGAACCACATATACAGCCTCACAAAGAGCCCCGAGTGAGGGATGCTTTCATGGGTCAGTTCCTCGTGAGTCTGCAGGAATCTGTTTGAGCAGGAGCAGAACCCAGGAAAGACAAGATGGCAAGGCACTGAATTTAACTGTGGGGACTGTGCCACCCTCACCCTGGGGGCCGGAAGGCAGCTTCCCATTCCACTTACGATCCTAGTCTCTCTTCGATGTCGTAGAAGTCAGATACTTTTTGTTCCGTATTGACTGTCACCGTCCGGTAATCGACTTCGGCCTCCTTCTCATCTATGGGTATGCATCAGGGTGAGTGTGAGTCATCAGATGCTCTCGCTCAGCCCCTTCCTCCCCAAGAGCCTGACCCAAGCACAAGTGGCCAGCACTTACCATCATCTGACACCTCCACTTCATCCTTCGGCTCTGGGGGGAGACAAGGAAGGACAGACAGGACATAGGTGAATAGTACCAAAGGCCCATGGAAAGCAAGATGTGCTGGGGGCCTTGCTAGGCCTCAGCCTTCCTGGGCACAAGACCACCAGGCCCAGAGTGCTGGGCATCCCCTGGGGCTGGTCAGCCCTTCCTGCAAACAGGGCCAGGTGCAGACTGGCGGGCACTGGCCTCCTCTCCCCACGTAGCCCCCATTCTCTATCTGGTCTCCTCTCCATCCTTTCCCTTCTAACCTCGTGGTCCCCAGATAAACCCTTCTCCACATGTCATCCAGTCCCTCTTGACTTTCAGACCCTACACACAACTGTGACAGTTCCTTCCTGCCCTGGCTCAAAAACCAGCAACTTATAACTGCTTTGAGTGTCAAAGCTATTTGTTGAAATCTTTTGTGGAATTCCAGCCATGTACCAAGTCTCTTGCCAGTTATGGTGGGCAGTCAAAACAAGACACACAGAAGTCATGATCTCTTTTCCCCTGAAGCTTATGATTTAGTTGGAGAAGTAAAAGCATATGTACATGAAATACCAATGACAAAGTGCTCTATAATCAAGCACATATCATCATGGTACAAACTGATATACCATGGAGGAAGGTGACACAAAGTGGGGCAATCACAGCATCAAAGCAATTATTCTTGGGAGAAACAGCCCTTGAGCTGTGTCTTAAATGAAATGCTGGACTATGATGAGGGGTAGGTGATCTCACACACATGAAGTCAGCAGGTGCTCGTGAGGTAGGGCCAGGAGGGACACAGCAGCCATGCTAGCTGCTCACGTGACCGTATCAGGAGTGCCACTGGGGTGTCCAGCAGAGCACATTCCACTCCAGAGCTCCAGGCCTTCCTTTGTGCCTTGATACAGGTTTGTCTCTTGACAACAGTACTGCTCTGGCCTTCTTGACCATGGTTAAATGCCTTTCTCTTTCTGGCTTCAGTTTCCTCATCTGTAAGAGGAAGGAGTTGTACCAGATGATTTTTAGGCCTAGAAGCAGGCTAGCACTAGATGCAATGCTCTGCAGTGTGCTTGGTGTTCTTTGGCCATGATCTAGGCAGTGTTCTGGCTGAGAGGAGGATGAAGGGAGGTTTCCTGAGGGAACTGAACAAAGACACGAGAGAAATCATAGAGTGAGAAAATGATTTCTGAAGTGTGTGTGAGAGTGAGTGTGTGTGAGTGAGTGTGTGTAGGATAGTGTGTGTCTGAGAGTTGGGTGTGTAAGTGTGAGAGTGTGGGATAATGTGTGTGTGTGTGTGTGAATATGAATGTGAGATAGCATAGGTGAGGATGTGTGAGTGTGTAAGTATGAGTGTGGGATTGTGTGTGAGGATGTGTGGGTGTGTGAGAGTGTGAGTTGTGAGTATGAGTGGGGGATAGTGAGTATGGGGTAGTGTGAGTGAGAGATAGTGTGAATGTGTAAGAGTGGATAAGACTTGGGGGAAAGAGCATGACTTGCTGAAGTCCCAGAGAGCAAGGCTGAGGAGAGGAGGGGAAGCACGTGTGGACGAGTATCTGTGAGAGAGGAGCAGAGTGGCCTAGTCAGACTCTGCCCCGTGGGAGAGGCTGTGAGCAAGCTGGGCTGTGCAGGGTTTGTGATGGAGTGTAGGCCAGGAAGGAGGTGCACTAGGCCCTGTAGGCAGTGAAGATCTCTACTAGGCTGAGGGCCGAACACATGACTGGAACCTAAGCAAACATTCTGAGGAAAAATAACATAGTTCCCATACAGGATAAGAACCTCTTGCTGAAAGAGTTTAGAGCCAGTTTATAAGCATGGGACCGGGAGCAGGAGAAGCTGTGATTTGTTTAGAGTTCTTAAAATGCTGCTGACAAAGTTTAGTTTTAAAAAACTAAACATGAGTAGGATTGGGAAGAATATTTTATCATAGCAAGGAAATTACCATGGAAAAATAAAAAAGGATGAGATAGACAAAGACTAAGACAAAGATAGAGTCTAGCTTATGATGTGTTAGTGGTGGGTTTCACAGACACTGCTGGGACGTGGACCTAACTGATCAATTTTTGTACATACATATTTATGAGTCAAGAGTGAATTGAGCCGGGCTTGGTGGCTCAGCCTGTAATCCCGTGCCTTGGGAGGCTGAGGTGAGTGGATTGCCTGAGCCCGCCTGGGCAACTTGGTGAGACCTCATCTCTACAATAAATAAAAAAATTAGCCAGGCGTGGTAGTGCGTGCCTGTAATTCCAGCTACTTGGAAAGCTGAGGCGGAAGGATCGCTGGAGCCCCAGCAGGTCGAGGCTGCGGTGGCCGGGAGCGGCCACTGCACTCCAGTCTGGGCGACAGAGTGAGACTCTAACTCAAAAAAGAAAAAGAAAAAAAAAGAGTGACACTGTCCAACTCATAGATGACAGGGATGACCTGAGAATCCTGCACCTGGAAGCCAGTAATGGAATCAACATTTAGGGAGAGTTTAATCATACTACCTTCTAGAGTGATGAACCCTCGGGTATGAAGTTAACACCCAAGAGAGAGAGCACAGTTCTTCAACCTACTGCTCTGGTCAACAGAATGCTCTCATGGGGGACCATGACCACTGGCTACAAGCAGGTATTATTACTTGATAGCACCTTGGGCATCTGGCTGGAAACCTGGCTGTTAGAGAGCCATGATGGAGCTGGTGCAGGTATGGACAGCCATAAGAGGGAAGGGTGCCACAATGAGACAATCAGAAATGTGAGACCTCTCTTGTTGGAAAAGAAGTCAAAAGCAGACATGATTTAAATGGAAATCATGCTGGACACTGTGGCTTATGCCTGTAATCCCAATATTTTGGGAGGCTGGGTGGGAGAATCGCTTGAGCCCAGGAATTCAAGACCAGCCTGGGCAGCATAGTGAAACCTCATCTCCACAAAAAATACAAAAATTAGACAGGCTTGGTGGCATGTGCCTGTAATCCCAGCTACTTGAGAGGCTGAGGAGAAAGGGTTGCCTGAACCTAGGAAGTTGAGGCTGTGGTGAGTTGTGATGGTACTATTGCACTCCAGGTTGGGTGACAGAGTGAGACCCTGACTCAATAAACAAACAAACAAAAAGAAATTACACAATTTCAAGGGTGAAATTTTAGGGTGATGAACTTTTTATCAGCTCATAAATACTGTACCGTGAGGGAACCATTTATTGTTCTGCGTTGCATAGCAGGAAGGCTATAAGTATATGGAACACACATATTGAGAGGTACCATAAGAATAGGAAATAAGTTTGATAGATGTTTAGGTTAGCTCAATGATGATAGGGTTTTCAAGGAAGTGAGAGATTCAAGTCAGTCAGTAACTGAACACCTGGCAGATGCCAGTCACTGCACTAGGTCCTAGAGACAAAAATCATCATATTTACTGCTGGGGAGACAAGACCCTCCGTCTTGAGCCCCTGTCTGAGGCAGTGGTTCTGACCTGTTTGGGGCTTCCTTTATTTCTTGTTTCTGTGCCACATTTTCTCTATGGAGCATGGAGACCAGAGTGTTCTGAGTGGTGGGTGAGAGACAGAGAGGAGAAGGCAGGCTTTCTCTGCCAGGAGTCAAGAGAACATTCTGTACTCTGCTAGTGAAGGGGCAGTGTGGTGCTATGAGCCAGGAGGGTTTTTCCAATGACCCAGCAGCAGGGGGCCCTCCCCGAGGGCCTTGAAGAGGGCATCCAATTCTAGACCTGGCATCTCCTTGTCACTCTGAGCCCAGCCAGGTTTCTGGCCTCACTCATGAGCCCATACCTGCCCCTCACCTGCCTTTCTCCCTGGCAGTCAGTGCAACTGTTTTGCCCCTCCTGCTGATGCTCTGGTGGGGGGACTGAGATAATTCTTAGGAAAATCCAGCCCCTCTTTCTAGTGCACTGTGTTGCAATGCAACCTTTCCTCTGCAGGCAACTCGGATCAAGACTCTAGGCTAAACTGGCATGGTGGTGCATGCCTGGAGTCCCAGCTACTCAGGAAGCTGAAGTGGAAGGATCACTAGAGCCTGGGAGTTCAAGTCCAGCCTGGGCAACACAGTGAGACCTCATCTTAAAAAAAAAAAAATAGGTTCTAGGCTGCTATGTCCCCTTCCGCCTTTCCCTTCTTGTCCTATCTCCCATGTATTTGAGGTGTAAAATGATCACAGAGAAACGGTGAGAGACAAGTGTAGGAAGGACCACAGTTCAGTGAGCTGAGCTCTTGGTGAATAAAGAGCTGTAATAATGAGAAAGGTGACCACTGGTTTCCCATCTTTCCACTAAAGGAGCTAAAAGTGCAATGGGGGACTTCAACTAAACTTAAAAAAAATCTATTCAGAAGGTTAAGCGATCCAAGAGCTATGTGGAAAACCATTTGGAAGATGGTTATGACCTGTATCTGCATACAGATGAGTGTCTCGCCACCCTGGAGTGATGTTTGGGAGAACTGAGGGCTCAGGACCCTCACTCAGCACAAGTATCGTCTGTGCCCTGGTCAGAGCTGTCCCATCCCGTGGCCGAGGGCTGTTGCATGTCCAGTGGGCACTAGAGGGCACCCCAGTCCTGGAGATGACCTCTTCAAGGTGCTGCGTAGCTGTAGCCTGGGCAAAGGCTCTGCATCTCTAATGGTCCTGTGGGTTGCAAGGAGGTCCCAATTCTGCAAGAAGCCTCCATCACTGTTGTTTTGTAGCAACCGTACAGAACAAATTAGGATTAGGAGCAAGGATGGAGTGGATTTAAGAGTGAAAGCAGGACTGGAGTGGGACTGGAGTTCAAGATCTGGCTGGGTTGGGAGGTGCAGGGCTGTGTCAAGGTGATGGTTCTGTGCACTTGGTCTTGGGAGCTGTCAGTTTAGGGATCCTTGTCTTAGGGGTGGCTCTGCCATAGAGGAGCCACTAGAGCTGCATGGGGACCCCATGCTTTGTCCCCCACTGTATCCTCAGTGCCCACAATAGCACCTGGAACACAGGAAGGATGCAGGACACATGGTGAATGAATGTGGGGCTGGGGAGACACACAGGGATAGCACTATGAGATCAGGATGAAGCAGAAAACGAACACTGCCAAGGCCAAGGGCAGAAGCGGTGGCGATGGTGAGGGTCAGAGTCAATATCAGCTGGGCTTTGTGGAGCGAGGGTTAAACAGCACTACCTTTTTGATAAGACCCCACACCCCACTGAATCCACAGAAATTACCTACCAAGACTTGCTACTTGATCTCACCTAACTGCCAACACACACACACACACACACACACACACACACACACACGCACACACGCACGCACACACAAACATCACTTCTCTGAGAGCCATTTCCCTTTTCAGTATAGAGATGACCTACCTAGACTTATAACTAACAAACTTCTTTTTAAAATATTTTAAAAATTTATTTTATTGCTTAACAGTAATAATTGTTATTTAGAGACAAGGCCAGAGATCAGTGGCATGATCATAGCTTATTGAAAACCTAAAATCCTGGGCTCAGAGGCTCCCTCTGACTCATCCCCTGAGTAGCTAGGACTACAGGCATATGCCATCATGCTCGGCTAAGTTTTTTTTTTTTGAGTCGGAGTCTCACTCTGTGTCCAGGCTGGAGTGCAGCGGCATGCTCACGGCTACCACAGCCTTGACACCTCAGCCTTTCAAATAGCTGGAACTACAGGTGTGTGCCACTACAACCAGTTAATTTTTTGATTTTTATTGTAGAGATGAGGTCTCGCCAAGTTGTCCCAGGCTGGTCTCGAACCCGTGGGCACAGGCAATCCTCTCATTTAGGTCTCCCAAAGTTCTGGGATTATAGGCATGAGCCACTGTGCCCAGCCTCGGCTAAATTTCTTAAATAATTCATAGAGACGGCCTCTCTAGGTTGCCTAGGCTGTTTTGAACTCCTGCACTCAAGTATTCCTTCCACCTCAGCCTGGGATCACAGGAGTGAGCCACTGTGCCTGGCCTACTAACTGGCCCACAATAAGTACTTGAGCGGTAGTCCACAGAGGACTTTTGCTTGGGGCTTCCTTTTGCTTCCAACGTCCTTTACCCTGAGGTCTAATGCTTGCCGACTGTTCTGCCCACCCCCCAACCCCCACCC